CCTCGGGTGAGGATTAAAAACAAAACAAAACAAAAGAATCCAAAAAAGTGAGGATAGTGTAAGGAGCCTCTGGGACAACTTCAAGCGTGCCAACATTCACATCTTGGGGAAGGAGAAGAGAGAGAACAAGAAATCGAAAACCTATTTGAAACAATAATGGCAGAAAACTTTCCTAACTTGGTGAAGGAAACAGACATACAAGTCCAGGAAGCACAGAAAGTCCCAAACAAGATGAACCCCAAGAGACCCACACCAAGACACATCATCATCAAAATGCAAAAGGTTCAAGACAAAGAGAGAATCTTAAAAGCAGCAAGAGAAAAGCAGCTAGTTACCTACAAGGGAGTTCCCATTAGGCTGCCAGCTGATTTCTCAAAAGAAACTTTGCAGGCCAGAAGGGAGTGGGAAGAAATATTCAGAGTGATGAAAAGCAAGAACCTACAACCAAGATTACTCTAGCCTGCAAAGCTGTCATTTAGAATCGATGGCCATATAAAGAGTTTCCCAGACAAGAAAAAGTTAAAGGAGTTCGTCATCACCAAACCGTTATTATATGAAATGTTGAAGGGTCTTCTTGAAGAAAAAGAGAAAATATATGAAGAAATAAAATGGCAATGAATACATATCTATCAACAATGGATTCTACAAACAAAATGAACAGGTAGAACAGAAACATTCTCATAGACACAGAGAACATTTTGTTGGTTGCCAGATGGGAGGGGTGTTGGAGGAATGGGTGGAAAAGGTGATGGGATTAAGAACAAATTGGTTGCTAGACTGACAAACCTCAAAGAGAAGGGGGTTAGGGGGTGGGAAGAAATAAACCAAAGAACTTCTATGCATAGCCAATGGACACAGACAACAGTGTAGGAAAAGGCAGGAAGGGGGCAGGAGTGGGGAGGAGGGGGTCAATGGGGGGAAAATGAGGAACATCTGTAATACATCCAACAATAAAGATATAATAATAATAATAATAAAAAGAGAAGTGACTTGTGCAAGGGCACACCAATCAGTGGCTGAGGGGGAAAAGGACTCAGATTGACTCCCATTCACAGAATGTTCCTCTGTGCAACAGTCCAGCCCTGGAGGAGGACCTAAAGCATCTCGCATCCTTATGCAATCATCTACATGTCCACTAACCAAAATCTGCTGCTTAAAGTATTATCCCTATGTAGCATATTTTCAAAGTAAAATTAATTGTACGGAAAACGTCTTGTGGGCACGAGGAGTATGACACGCTTTGCAATCATGACAAAGCCTTACTATGAAATGGCGGTTTCCCTTTGAAGTCGCTAGGAGGTACTCACTCACCATGAATATTGATAGAGGGAGGCAAATGACAGATACTTTTTTAGGTTTTAGTGCTTGGGGGGCTCAGTGGAGCCTAGGAACAGTTTGTGGGGATGGGATGCTGACTTCTTTACAGTATCTGCTTTCTCTTGCCTGCTCAAGGCCCATCCAAATCCCTCAGCCTGGCTTGCATCCCGGGATCCTACATCTCTCTCCATGCCCCACCCCCGGAAAAAAATAATAAATAAATAAATGAATGAATAAATACAGGCAGGGAGCTGAGAAGGAAGTCCCTCCGGAAGGGCCCCGCCCGGGGCCCCGCCCTCTGACACCAGCAGTCCTGGAGGGTGCAAGTGGGGACTAGGAACTGTCCTCACAAAGGCAGGCAGCACCCACGACAAAGGAGCAGGGTTTCCAGAAAAACATAACCAAATACATGACTAACCTGAGTATTTAAGTTTGTTGGGTTTTTTTGGGTCAATTCAGTGTGTCTTCTTTAAAAATTTAACTACATAAAAATGCATAGCGACTACCTCCAAATAGCACAAAGAACTTTGCAGAATTCTATTAAGTAATCTCAGCTTATATAATATCACTGTGACTCTCTTAATTTCTTATCCAATGATTCAACAAATACTTGTCAAATAATTATCAGATATATAGCTCTTATATGTTGTAAAAGAACACAAAAGAATAAAATAATCTTTAATACATATATACAAAGAGATCACCTAGTCTTTACAATATAAATGGCCAGCAAAAACATACACAGTTGGGAAAAACTTTACAGTACAATATAAAAATAAGCACTAAGTGGGCACAGAGCTGTATAGGTATTCTGAGGAGACAGAAATTAGTTCAGGAAGAAATGTGAGGAAGATTTCATACAGGAGGCAGAATTTAAGTTGAAACTTGCAAGATGAATAAAATGGGTAAGACATCTTACAAAGGAACCCCAATTTTCCAAGCCAGAAATATGGGAGTTGCTCTAACTCCTCCCTGTCCACCCACCGGTGCTGCCCCTAATACCTGACAAACAAGTCTACTTCCAGCCTCCCCACGACACCATTTTAGTTTTGGTCACTATTATTCCAACCTAGGTCCTGGCAGATCAGTCCCCTAAGGGGTCCCCTACACTAACTACCCCAATCCATGGCCAAAGTCATCTGTCTAAAATGCAAACCTCATCCTCTGTCACTCTCCTTCCTTAAAACCCTTCAGTATCTCACTTTCAGGGAAAAACCCAGACCCCCAAGGCAGAGCCCCCTGATCTGGCTCCTGACACTCAGCCAGCCCCTCCTCTCCACCACCTCACGGCTCAGCTGCTATCTCCGGGGGGGCCTGCCTGCCATCGTGCTCCCTCTCCTTTGCCTGGCTAATTCCCACCACTGCAACCTTTTCTTGGAAAGCTTCAAACCAACAGAGAAGTGAATAGAACAATACAATGAACAATGAACACATAGGCCCTTCATGTAGATTCGCCACGTTTTTGCCACACTTACTTTACCTCTCTCTGAATCACACCGAAGTTAGACATCATAAAACTCAACCCCTAAAACTTGAGCAAGAACAACTTTCTACGTAATCTCGAATACCATAATCACACTCAAAATACTTAGCATCGACAGTTTTACCCAATATGTAGTCTACTTTTTTAAATTTTTATTTATATTCTTTATTGATTTTAGAGAGAGGAAGGAAGAGGGAGAGAAACATTGATGAGAGAGAACACCGATCAGCCGCCTCCTGCATGCCCCACACTGGGGACCTAGCCCACAACCTGGGCATGTGCCCTGACTGGGAATCAAACCAGTGACCTCTTGGTGCAGGGGTCATGCTCAACCACTGAGCCACACTGGCCGGGCAACAATATGTAGTCTATATTCAAATTTTCCCAATTATTCCAAAACGTCCTCCATAGTTTGTTTATGCACTTTGGGTCACATGCTGCTTCTGTTTTCATACTGTCACTACCGTGCTAGTCTGTAATGATCTATTTATTCACCTGTTTCCCCTGTTGAACAATAAGCTCCTGGAGGGCTTTTACTCTCCAGACCCATACTGTCTGGCTCAGCAGACAGCCACTAAAGGCTGGCTGAATGAATGAAAGAGCCATGAAGAGCAAATATGTCCATTATGGTGCCCCTCCCCCCCAATTCATATGTTGAAGTCCTAACCCCCAATGTACTATATTTGGAGACAGGGCGTTTAAGGGGTAAAGTTAAATGATGTCACTAGGATGGGGCTCTAGTCCAAACGGGACAGGAAAGGCCAGGTGAAGACACGAAAGAAGGAAGTTGTGTCTGCAAGCCAAGAGAGGTCTCACCAGAAACCAACCCTATCAACATCTTGACCTTGGACTTCAAGCCTCTGGACTGTGAGAGTAGATTTCTGTTGTCCAAGCCACCCAGTCCACAGTATTCTGCTACGGCAACCTGAGCTCACCGACACTATGACCAAAATCTGCGTGCCCTCAGTGCCTATTTTTAATGGAATGCTAAACTAAACCCATGCACCACTGCTAGAACAAAGAATACACAGAAGACTTCTGCTTCTGAAGAAGTGAACCCCAAAGCTAACAGAAAGAATGACAGAAAGCATGACATACATTAAAAAATCCAACTGGATCTTTAAGACTACAAGCAGTAAATTATTGGTCATTAATCACCATCTGTAGCTATCCAATCAGGTGATAAAGAGGATAGACATATGCAGAATATATGGAGCACACCTCAGAAGAAAGTCTTTCATGGAGCTTAGAATAAAATCCCAGACGCACCCCCCAACGTCTGCTCTCTCAGACACCTGCTGCTAGGCTGCTCACGGCACACCTGCGTCTCTTCCCCGCGCAGCCGAGGACGACCACAGGCCACGTGCTGGGTGGCGGCAGCTGCCGGGGCCACAGCAGAGCCGAGCGCACTCTCAGGGCTGCTGCACAGGGACCGCCCAGGACCGCCCGTGCATCTCCTGGCCATCACTACTAGATGCTCGACAGAGTAACTGGCTGGTCTTCAGGCTCTTCTGAACATGCTTTCTCACGCTGACCTTTCACAATGATCACCTTTCATACTTGCAGAAGGATTCGGCAAATGAGCTTGCTACTTTTCACTTAGCTCTTTCACACAGTAGAAAGCCCAGCTTTTCTGATAAGAATGTTTTAGTAGAATTTAAACAAAATCATCACAGTATTCACAACTATTTTGATTTCCAACGAGTTCAGACTAGAAATTGGAAAAATTGAAAATTGTATTAAATCCTATGCCCATCTTACTCTTGCTGTAGCACTCAGAAGAGAGAGGTACGGATCCTCTAAATAATTCTTTCCAAAGAGCTCACAGTGTTACCATATGAAATTTACTTTTGGTGCTAAATAGCATAAATACATTCAAAGTATTCTCATAGCCTGAACTTTTAAAAAATAAAGTTATAAAGCAAGTAAAATAGGTGTTAGATGCATATCATAAATCTTGATCAAACTTGGGACCCAACAATGAGCTGCAATTATTTTAAGGTATTAATGAAGTGCTAACATTTTCTTGATCAAATCTAACATAAGGTGTTAGAAAAGCTAAAATCATTAAAGGATTATTTGTGTACTTGTTTTTCAAATAAAAATTAGAAACTAGAACTACCAGCTGGGCTGGCCCCTGACACGCGCGCACACACACGCACGCGCTCACACGCAGGGTGCTCTCAACGGCGTCACTTACCTTCTGCCCTTCTCGCAGAGTTTCTCAATCTCAGCTTTCAGATCCTGCTCCTTCTGCAAAAACTCTTTCTTTTCTTTCTCTATCTTCTTCTTTGTTTCTTCCCGCTTTATTGTTACATCCTGGATAGCCTTCAGTATCTCCTGAGTCCCGCGCGATTACAGGCACACAGAAATACAGAAGGAAAGAAATTATTCTTTTATTCTAAGAGTTGTTTCCCACTATCACAATTTAACATACTGACTTTAGTAAATTCTAATTAAACTGAAGGACTCTGGTTGATGAGCATCTCCAAAAGCCAGCATTTAGGTGTAAGGAAAACAGCTACAATCAAGGTGACTTCAATTCAAGAGGAGAAAGAATTTCTAACTGTTCAAACAATGGAATTTACTGCCTTGTAAAGCAATATGCTCTCCATTACTGGTGTTCAAATAAAGGCTGAATGAGCCTGTCAAGAATGCTAAGAAAGGTATTCTTGCACAGGGTGAGAATTTTTTACTTTCAACAAAAATGGTCTTGTTTTGTTTTGTTATGGTCCTCCTTTATTATGTGTTAGGTTATCTTTTTCTGTTCTTACTATTTAACTACACACACACACACACACACATACACACATGCACATATACACATAGTAAGAATAAAAGTGATAAAGTTAAGTCACTCCCTAACTCACACCAACTCTATCAATAACATGATCAACATGACTTTCACCTTTCTCTATTCTCACATAAACACATGCATATTTATGTATGTATTTCACTGCTTTTTTTGTTCTTTTCCATGAGAGCATTTAATATACATTATTCTGCATCTTTTTTCACTTAAAATTAACATTGTCAATAAATATAGATCTACCTCCAAAAAATAGCTGCAAATATGACACAATGTGTATCTATGCAATTTATCCAGCCACTCCCTGTGCAGAGCCCATCAGACTGATCCCAGCTCTTCTGTAACTACAAACTATACTATCATAAATGCTCCAGATGCCTACACTTTCACACAAAAACTTCTATTTCTGTAAAACAGACTCCTAATAACAAGATTGCTAGGTCACAGTACATGCACATGTTTAATTTTAACTGACAATTCCTAATAACTTTTCCAAAAAGGTCTCAACATACTCCTACTGATGTCTGAAAAAGAGTCCATTTTTCCTCACACTCGACAACTTACTTTACTTTTGCTAATACCTTGGGGGAGAAGTAGGAATGATATATAATAATTACAATGAACATTTCCCTAACTTGCACTCTTCACTGTGTTTACTGTGTCTCCTTCAACTAAAGGAAGTATTCAGTGAAGGCAAAGACTGTTTCGTTCAACACTGAATCTTCAGAGCCTAGATCAGGAACTCAAAAACACTTGCTGAGTGTTTGAATGAACACCAGTGAGGCTGAGCTTCTCTTCATATATTTACAACTTATTTACTTTTCCTCTTCTGTGAATTCCTGTCAATAACAGTCCCCTCCCCTAAAACATGTCCACATTCTAACCCCTAGAATTTGTGAATATGTTACCTTCCACGGAAAAGAAACTTTGCAGATGCAACTTAAGTAAGAATCTGGCATGGGAAGGTGATCCTGGATTATCAATCTAATCATAACATGGGTCTTTAAAAAGGAAGAACCTTCCCAGTTGCATGGAGGAAGATGTGATTAGGGACTATGGTCAGAGATACAATGTTGCTGACTTTGAAGACTGAGAAGGGAGCCACGAGTCAGGAATGCAAGCAGCCTCCAGAAACTGGAAATGCAGAGAAACGGATCCTTCCCTAAAGCCCCAGAAAGGAATACAACCTTGCTATGATCATGATTTCCCCCCAACACCACCCACGCTGGACTTCTGACCTATAAATCTGTGTTGTTTTAAGCCATTAAATTCTTGGTAATTTGATACAGTAGCAATAGGGAACTAATATAATAACCTTTCCTGGTTTTTCTCTAGATTTTTGACATTTACCATGAATTTATAAGAATCTCAGAATATCATGGATATTAAATCCTTCATCAGATGTACCAGAAATATTTTCTCTCAGCTTAACATTTATCTTTTTTACCTTTTGTATCATTCACTGTATCAAAAGTTTTTAATCATATGTAATTAAAGTGATCAAATTTTTTATGGCTTTTGGTTTTTCTGCATGGTTTAAAACGATCTCTTGCAACTTGAAGTTTTTATAAATATTCTCCTAAATTTTTTTCTAATTTGGAAGGCTTTTCTAGTTTTTTATGTAAATTTTTCATCTACCTAGAACTGTATTTTTATTTTTACTTATTTATATTTTGTTTTGTTTTTTTTGTTAATCCTTACCCAAGGATATTTTTCCATTGATTCTTTTAGATAGAGTGGAAGAGAGGGAGGGAGAGGGAGATGGAGAAGAAGGGAGAGAGGGAGGGAGGAGGAGGTAGAGGGAGAGGGAGGGAGGGGGAGGGGAGAGAGAGAGAGAGAAACACTGATGTGAGAGACACACCGATTGGCTGCCTCCCACACACGCTTCAACCAAGGCCAGGGGTCGAACCTGCAACCCAGGTACGTGCCCTAGACCGGGAACTGAACCCGAGACCCTTCAGTCCGAGAGCTGACGCTCTAACTGCTGAGCCAAACTGGCCAAGGCTAGAATTATACTTTGAAACATAATGTCATATGAGATTCTAATCAAATGATTTTCTAGGTAGACTGTCAATTATGTAAACAAACTATATTAAATAAATAACCCTTTTCTCTATGAACTAAATTAGAACTGAGAGTTTGAACAAGATGCCCTCAAGCCCTGGCCAGTTTGGCTCAGTGGTTGGAGCGTTGGCCTGTGGACCGGAGAGTCCCAGTCGGGTTCGGTTCCCACTAAGGGCACGTACCTTGGTTGTGGTTTGTCCCCATCCTGGTTGGGGTTATGTGGATGGCAACAAGTCGATGTCTCTCTCACATCGATGTTTCTCTCTCTTCCCCCCTCTCTCCCTTCTGCTCTATCTGAGGATAAATGCAAAAATTTCCTCTGGTAAGGATAAAAAGAAGAAAGATGCCCTCAAAGGTTATGTTTGTCCTTAAAATTCTATGGTAACTATTAAGAAGTTAAATATTGCTTTTCTATTTCTATTAATTTAGAAACAAAATTAAAGTTTGATTAGGGACTACAGCTTTACTTATTGATAATTTTAACATAAACAGAAAACCTGGTGATTCTTCATTTCTTCTTCTCTCCTTTGCTGAAGTTGCTTTAATTGCACTTGGAGCTGATTCTCCACTTGCCTCTGCTTGTCCAGGACTTCCTGGTAACGCTCCTTCAACAGGGTTCTCTCCGTCATCATTTTATCCTATTGGCAACAGCAAAAGAAGAGTCATCCCCAATCCCGCTGCAAGAAGCACGCCCAGACACCTGCTCAAGGCTCTGTGCAGAACTCTATGGCCGCAGGGTCCCACGCTGGAGCCGTCAGACCTGTGTGGCCGCAGCGTCCCATGCTGGAGCCGCCAGACCTGTGTGGCTCTGTTCATCTGAACTCATCAAAAGAACAACATTTGAAAACCCAGCCCTTCAGTCACCTCGCCACACTCCGAGTGTCCACAGGTGGCCGGTGGCCTCCACACTGGACAGCCTTACAGGGGTCCTATCATACAGCAGTGCTCTGCGCGGGGCTGGCAACCTATGGCCTGAGGGCCAAATCCAGCCACTGCCTGTCGTGGTCAAGTTGTACGGAAACAGCCACAGCCAATGGCTCACGGGCTGCTTGCACACAACGGCAGAGTGGAGTGGTTACCACAGCGCACATGTAGCCCATGCCCTAAGTTATATATATATTTTTATCCTCACCCAAGGACTTTTTTTTTTTTGCCTTTATCTTCAGAAAGAGCGGGAGGCAGAAATGGGGGAAGAGAGAGAGAAACATTGATGTGAGAGAGACACATCGAGTGGTTGCCACCCACACGACCCCAACCAGGGCCAAGGACAAACTGCAACCAAGATACGTGCCCTTAGTGGGAACCGACCCAGGTTTCTCTGGCCCATGGGCTGATACTCTAACCCAGCAGTTCTCAACCTGTGGGTGGCAACCCCTTTGGGGGCTGAACGACCCTTTCACAGGGGTCGCCTAAGACATAACAGTAGCAAAATTACAGTTATGAAGTAGCAACAAAAATAATTTTATGATTGGGGGCCACCACAACAGGAAAAGCTGTATTAAAGGGCCGCGGCATTAGGAAGGTTGAGAACCACTGCTCTAACCGCTGAGCCAATCTGGCCAGGGCAAGGCCTAAGATATTTATTATCTGACCCTTTATAGAAAAAGTTTGCCAATCCCTGCTCTGGGGAATAAGAGGAAGAAGGCATTTTATCATTCATTAAGAGAAAGAAGAAAACAATGGGCATAAACAAACATATGACCTAACAAAATACATCCAGAAACAGGATTTCTTACATGAGCTCTGAAAACTGACAGACCCATAGAGGTTCAGGAAGTTGGGATTCAGACTGAGCAAATCGACAAGCGCTCATATAAAGTAGGGAGTAGCAGCAAGGACCACAGTTCAGCTCGCCCCCCCCCCCCAATCAGTAAATCAAGAAAGGTATGGCGCTGGACTGGTGTGGCTCAGTGGCTGAGCTTCGACCGTGCACCAAGAGGTTTCATTCCCGGTCAGGGCACACGCCCAGGTTGTGGGCCAAACCCCCAGTGAAGGCCATGTAGGAGGCGGCCAATCGTTGTTCTCTCTCGATGTTTCTCTCTCTCTCTCTCTCTCCTTCTCTCTTCCTCGCTCTAAAATCAATACAGAAAAAAAATTTTTTTAAAAGAAAAGCTATGGTTACCTTTCAAAGCAACACTAAAAACTAAAGAGCATCCATTTAAAACACCTTGGTATAAAGTAGTGGGTAATTACCATAAATGCATGAAAAGGAGAGCAAATAAAACAGAGTCCAGTTTCTTATACCGCTGCCACTGCGAGTTCCACTGCTTTTAGTAAGACTGTGGGCCATGCAGACCAGGGAGTCCCGGGTTCGGTTCCCACTAAGGGCACGTATCTCGGTTGCAGTTTGTCCCTGGCCTGAGTTGGGGTCGTGTGGGTGGCAACTACTTGGTGTGTCTCTCTCACATGGATGTCTCTCTCTCTCTCTTCCTCCCTCTCTCCCTTCTGCTCTATCTGAAGACAAATGCAAAAAGAAATTGTCCTTGGGGGAAGAAAAAAAAAGACTGTGGGCCGCACCACCTCCCAACAGAAAACAGCCAAACAAACACGACCCCGGGGCCTCTTTTGGCCCAACTGCCTTCCAGTTTCCACCTGTTTAAAACTGATACTAGCCCTGGCCGGTTTGGCTCAGCGGTTGGAGCGTCGGCCTGCAGTACAGAGAGACCCGGGTTCGGTTCCTGCTAAGGGCACGTACCTCGGTTGCAGTTTGTCCCCGGCCCTGGTTGGTCGTGCGGGTGGCAGCCACTCGATGTGTCCCTTCACATTGATGTTTCTCTCTCTCTCTCTTCCTCTCTCTCCCTCCCGCTCTATCTGAACAGAAAAAAAGAAAAATGTCCTCGGGTGAGGATAAAATAAAAAAAAAATAAAAAACAAAACTGATACTAAAGTGTATCCATCTTTAGTCGACCCCTTCAGTTGCTATACAGCCATCCAAATTCCACCTTAAACTAAGGGACAAAATAAATACTCTATGTAAATAAACTGATTAACTAAGTGCTCAGGAGAAGATGACTTCTCTCCCTCCCTGGAGGTTTGCTCCCCCCAGCGAACCTCCCTGGGGTCTCTCATCCCCAGGATCTTTTCCCGCTTGTTACTAGTAACTCCTGAGTTGCTACTAAGTTTCTATTGGCATCATCTGATTAATGTGCTCCAACAACTTACTTCTTTCCACCTTCCCCTAAATTTCTTCACTGTGCTCCACACACCCGCCTTGTCTGTAATACGGCACTTTTCCTTCTTTCCACGCAATTGACGCATCTTACCCTGAAGACCTCTCCCTGACCCTAAGGTGCTCTCCCAGCATTATCCTTCCTCTTGAAAACATACATTTAGATATGCATTCACTTAAGGGGTGCAAGTTTTTGCCACAAAATGCCAGTGGTAGATTAAGAGGACCAGTTTAACAAAGATAAATGTGAAGTTCCCTAAATTTCAAAAACTAATTACCTAGGAGTAAAGGGGAAAAGACATGAGACTTGATGGCGTGGACTGAAAGCTCAATAGTGATGAGACTGCCAAAGCACCAACGGCTTAGGAAACCATGTCTAGAAAGAGTCTCATTGTATTATAAACTAATTATAGTCTGTCTGGATTATCATATTTAGTTCTCAGGATCACATTTCAAAAGAAACACTGATAAGATGGAACATGTCTAGGTGAAAAGGTAACCAGGATGACGAAAGGACTGAACACATATAAAGAAAAAACTGGTCTGGCCGGTGTGGCTCAGTGGTTGAGAGCTGATTCATGCACTGAGAGGTCACCAGTTCAATTCCTGGTCAGGACACATGCTCAGGTTGTGGGTTCGATCCCCAGGAGGGGGCATGCAGGAGGTGACCAACTGATGTTCTTTCTCACCAATGTTTCTATCTCTCTCTCCCTTTCCCTTCCTCTCTCTCTAAAATCAATAAAGTGAAAAAAAATTTAAGAAAAGAAGAATGTTGCCCTGGCCGGTTTGGCTCAGCGGTTAGAGCGTCGGCCTGCGGTCCAGAGAGACCCGGGTTCGGTTCCCGCTAAAAGCACGTACTTTGGTTGCAGTTTGTCCCCGGCCCTGGTTGGTCGTGCGGGTGGCAGCCACTCGATGTGTCCCTTCACGTCGATGTTTCACTCTCTCTCTCCCTTCCTCTCTCTCCCTCCCTCTCTATCTGTACAAAAAATGGAAAAATATCCTCAGTTGAGGATAAAAAAAAAAAAAAGAAAAGAAAAGAAGAATGTTAAAATCATCTGGGGACCACTGGCCGGTGTGCTCAGTGGTTAGAGCATCGGCCAGAGCACCAAAGGGTCACGGGTTTGACTCCTAGTCAAGGGCACATACCTAGGTTGCAGGTTCAATCCATGGCCCTGGTCAGGATGTGTGCAGGAGGCAACCAATTGATGTGTCTCTCTCACATCAATGTTTCTTTCTCTCTCTCACTAATAAGTGGAACAATAAATCAATGGAACAAAAAAATAAGTGGAACAATAAATCAATGTCTCTCTCTCACTCACTCTCTCTAAAAATCAATGGAAGCCTGGCCAGTGTGGCTCAGTGGTTGAGCATCGACCCTGCACCAAGAGGTCGCCGGTTCAACTCCTGGTCAGGGCACATGCCCAGGTTGTGGACCAAATCCCCAGGGAGGGCTTGCAGGAGGCAGCCAATCAATGTTCTTGCTCATTGATGTTCCCATATTTCTCTCCCTATTCCCTGCTCTCTAAAATCAATAAAGAAAAAAAGGTTTTTAATAAAAATAAAATATATATATATAAATCAATGGAAAAAATAACTCAGGTGAGGATTAACAAAGAAACAAACAAAAAACACATCACCTGGAACAGTTCAGACCTGAGAGGTAAGTGGAAGAGGTAGGGCTACTGGACAACTCCCCATGGTGGCAGCAGCTGGTGGCATGGAAGGGTGGTGACGGAGCCTCAAGCCTGGCTGGTGTGTGCTGACCCAGACCTGGCCTCCATGTGCCACCTCCGGCACGCAGCCCCCGTCCCCACCCCTGCTCCTGCGACCTAATGCTGAGCAGCGCTGAGCCTGCCTGCCTGGGGATGACGGTGAAGTACTTTCTGGGCCACAGCATGCTCTGCAGTTCCTGGGATCAAGCGTTCACTGCCTTCCGGCAGCGGCATCTGAATCCTTCCAGCAAACATGTCTGACGAAGACACAGGGAGCGGGGATGTGACCCTGACCAGAGCTCCTGTCCCACAGACTCCTGACCAAGACCAGCAGGATGCTCCGCTGGGCTGAGCGACGGCTTCCTGCCAAAGCTGCTCACTTGGTGTGTGTCCTGGAGGGTTCTACTGTGGCTCACAGAACCGGATCCTGACCGCCTTCATCTGGAACATCAACCACACCCAGCTGATAGTGGTGGAGCAATGACGTGTTTACTGTGTGAACTGACAGCAGAAGCGGGACTGAAATCCACCAGGAGGCTGGGTCTCCTCTAGCTTATCTGGCGTCTTCAGAGCTGTCCAGGAATTTGGTCTTGCCCGGTTCAAAAGCAATGTGACCAAGATGATGAAGGGCTTTGAATACACGTTGGCCAAGCTGCAAGGTGAGGCCCCTTCCAAAACCCTTGCTGAGACGGCCGAAGCAGCCGAGGAGGGCAGAGCAGAGAGGCCGAGGGCCTCACCAAGCGCAGCAGTGTGTGGAGCCAGCCCAGGCCTGGGGCAGCAGCACACCCACCACCTGTCCCTCCCTCTGCCCCGCCCCTTGTACTTTATTACTGAAAGGCAACTTCCAGCCCCACCTACTTTCTGGATGGGGGGTTGGGGATGATGGCTGTTTGGCATCTCAAGTGCACCAGACACATCACCCACGCCTGGGCCAGGCCTGCTTCTTTTAGCATCAGGTAGCTGAGGACAGAGGTGCAGAGAGGGGCTGTGACTTGCCCAAGGTTACAGAGAGCACGCAGGCAGAGTGGTCATAAATACTAGACTGTGAGCTCCATTAGGCAGGGACCTTTGTTTTGTTCTCTGCTGTGTCCCAAGTATCTGGAACAATATCTAGCACATAACAGGCACTCAATAAATATTTGTCGAATTCAACTAGTGCATCCCCTTCCCCTGCTCCATCAAAAAAAAAACAAAAAACAAAAACTGTAGGGCCAACAATTAAAAAAGGATTGAGATTTACTCTACATGGCTCAAGAAAGAATTATAACAAGTTTCAAGGTTCTGTCCTCACCTCCAAATGAGATCTAACAATGGGAGCTGTTTCAAAAATGCAACAGGCTGCTTTCTGAGCAGTAAGCTCCCCGTCCCTGGGCGTGATCAAGCAGAGGTTAGCCGACTAACATCAGAAACTTGATAAAGGGACCTCCTACATCAACGGTTTCATATATCCCCAATGACAGTTCAAACACTTACCAGATTCTTCTCAATATCTTGATCTGTGTTTACCTCTGAATCGGCCGTCTTAAAGTCAGTCTATAAGGAAAGAAACGAGACGTTCAGAACTGTTCAGTGGCATTTTGAAGTCCTTGCACCTAGAAGCCTGCCACAGGATGAAGAGGCTCACTTACTGGCTCCGCAGCGACAGAAGCGCTGCGGTTCTGCAATCGGACAGACACGCCCCCTGCAGGAAGCACGCAGCCACAGAAACACCTCTACGCGAATGACTACGCTCATCAGTCACTCGGCGAGAGGTGCCATGTAGACCACCAAGTGCCTAGTCACCAGTCAGACAATGGCTCCTGGCTTTAGCACTTCTTTTTTTTTTTTTTTTTTTTTCTTTATCACTTCTTGAACACCAGAACGAGGTCATCACATAGCACCACATGGAAATAGTATGACAGTTCCCAGTAAAAAAAAAAAAAAAATGGTAAGAGTAGACTCCACCAACCAGGAAGAAATGCCTCTTACCCTCAAAAAAAAAAAAGCCCCAATTCCATTTTAGTAGCAGAAACTTGATACTTGACCTGTACAGCAATGTTCTGAGAAAGCTTCAGGGAAGAGCTATCCTGATCACCATCCTCATCCACTCTGACTCCTTCAACCCCATTTGCTGGCGGTACTACAGGTCGGAAATCCAAGCCTGTGTCCCCGCTCCCTTCCTTTAGGGTGGAGGCTTGTGGGGACTTGTCTTCAGAATAGCTCCCGGAGGCAAGCTGCTTTGTACGGCACCCAGCCTTAAGAGACCGAGCGGCAGGGTGCAGGCTCTCCAGGAGGCACGTGTCCCCCTCCTCTCCTGCTGTGCTGGCCACGTCCTTCAAATCAGACTGAGCCCCACCGCCAGAAAGACCAAGGGCTGTGGCTATCAAGTTCTCTCCTAACACCGCCTGCCGCGCTGCTGAGGTGTCACCTGCTGCCGAACCAGGATTCTGCTCTGGTTGTTCCAAATGGACATTTCTGTTATTCTCCTTGGTTATCGTTTGGCTACTTACACTTGACAGAGGCGAGTTCTTGTGCTTCTGGGCAGGGTCTTTGGGGCTACCAAAACATAAGATAAAAAAGTTTCTCTCTTCACCCGATCTTCAAGAGGATGAAACATATAACACTTCCAACGTAATCACGAACAGAACAAAACTAGACTATTAAACCCCCCAAATTATCAAAATGAAAAGGAACTTAGTTTCTACCCAGCGATTTCATCCCACATGCAGGGAGTACAGCATGGTGGTTAAGAACCTGGGTTTGGGCCCTGGCTGGTGTGGCCCAGTTGGCTGGGTGTCGTTCCGTGCACCGAAAGGTCACTGGTTCGATTCCCAGTCAGGGCACATGCCCGGGTTGTGGGCTGGATCCCTGGTGGGGGCCATGCAGGAGGCAGCTGATCGATATTTCTCTCTCCCTTTCCCTCTCCCCTCCTCTCTCTCCAAAATCAATAAAAATATTTTGTTCCGCCCTGGCTGGTTTGGTTCAGCGGTTAGAGCATTGGCCCATGGACCAGAGGGACCTGGGTTCAGTTCCCGCTAAGGGCACGTACCTTGGTTGCAGTTTGTCCCAGGCCCCTGTTGGGGTCGTGTGGGTGGCAGCCACTCAATGTGTCTCTCTCACATCGATGTTTCTCTCTCTCTCTCTTCCTCCCTCTCTATCTGAAGATGAATGCAAAAATGTCCTCGGGTAAGGATTAAAAGAAAAAAAAAAAATTTTTTTTTAAAAAAGTGCCTGGGTTCTGACTGAAGACCCAAAACCTTTTGAGGGCCACTCTGAGTAACTTTTAGGAATACAAAGAAAATAGCCTAATGCTAGTTAGAATATTTCATAGTTACATGTGTTTAGTTACACATATTTTAATAAGGAAGTTACTAACTTAGAAACATTGTTTTTATTCCACTCTCACGTTTCCCAAAAGTAATTTTCCCTCAGACTCTGAGCAGAACCACTGCAGGTTCTCACCAGTTTCTAGAGCATAGTCCTGTCACTCTGAGCTTCAGAAGCACAAGTCTGAGACCAACACGGACGCCGTCGGTGGAAATGTCGCCCCAGAGGAGCACACACACACACTCTGCACTGGGGGGTTGCTTTACTGTTTACCGGAGACTTCACTTTTAAAGAGATCTTCCAAACCTACAATGACATCCAACACTCACCGCTGTAAGTTTTCCACTCGGGAATAATGACCAAGTCTGTGCTAGATTTCTTTACCTTTTTAGAACTGTTCTGTCCAGTGACGCTCTTAAGCACCCAGCCTGGCACTGAGGCTTTGGGTCACTACCCTCTTTCCCCAGCAGCACTTGCTGTTCAGATACAACAACAGAGAAAGCAGCTTGTAAGATGAAAATCGTCCTTGCTGCGAGTTAACTGAGGGTAAGGGGGCCCTTAATTACAAATTTGGGCATATACCGTCCCTGGATGGGAATCCTGCCTCTGCTATTTACTGGTTGCTTGACTCTGGGCAAATGACTTGACTTCATTTTGTTGTTGTTGTTTTTATCCTCAATTGAGGACATTTTCGCATTTATCGTCAGATAGAGTGGGAAGGAGAGAGGAGGGAAGAGAGAGAGACATTGATGTGAGAGAGACACATCGACTGGTTGCCACCCACAGGACCCCAACCGGGCCAGAGACAAACTGCAGCCGAGGTACGTGCCCTTAGTGGGAGCCAAACCCAGGACTCTCTGGTCTGCAGGCTGACGCGCTAACCGCTGAGCCAAACTGGCCAGGGCTTACTTCATTTTTAAAGTAGAAATAATATTACCTAGCTAATACAATTATTGTGCGGATTACCTGAGATAATGCATCTGAAGTATTTAGTACAGTGCCTGGCACATAGTAAACACTCAATCAACCTTAAATGTTAGTATTATTACTAATAGTATGTGGTTGATTTTATTTATCAAATGAAGGTCCAAGATTATGGTTAGGCTTACTTAACATTTTCCCCCATTACCCATTCACTAACAAACTTCTGTTCATGTAAACAAATATTTATTAAGTACTCTGGAATCAGACAAGCCTGGGTTCAAATCCTGACTTCAACATAGCTTGGTCACCTTGGACAAGTTACTAACCTCTCTGGGTCTCAGTTTCCTCACCTGTAAATGGGAATAACAACATGAGCACCTACCTCCTGGGATTGTTGGGAGGATTAAATGTGTGAATACGTATAAGACTGTTAGTACAGTATTACCTACTGGATTAGGCTCTGGGTACTCTAGAAAAGAGCTGAGGTAGACCACAGAAGCAATTTAGTGCAACACTGTACATACAATGTGCCAAGCACTGTAAGATACAAGGTTGGGTCACCATAATTCCTGTCCTCAAGAGTTCAGATGGAAGGCAAAATATATACACAAAGCAGTAATATTACCAAAGTTATCTACAGATAAATACAGATATATAAATACAAACACACATATATCTGTATGTAAGTATCCCTACGGGTATATATGTTATATAGAAGATATATTTGTGTATATACACATGTATGATATATAAGCATGTAGTTAAAAGAACATATAACCCATGTAGAACAAACAGAGTGAGGAAATATTCACACTTTAGGGTAAGTCTGACCCCCTGTATTGTAACCTATTTAGTCAATACACATGTAGTGTGTCTGTGGAGTATCAGATGCTGTTAGGTACCAAAAATACAAACATAGATCAGATAGTCTATCTTTAAAAAGCTGGATCTAGTGCAGAGCTACTAGAGCCAGACAGAGGACACACCAGGTACTTCCTTAAGAGGCCCAGCTTGAAAGCCCTTTACCCCCCCCCCCCCAAACCTTCCCAGTCAAGAATCCATACATTACCTTAGACCGTCTAGGAGACCTTCATCCGACTTGGAAGCACATAAACTAGAAGAGGATTCCGGGGGACTGGGGGCATTGGCCACCACACCAGCTACCTCAGACGCTGCCATCATGCTCTGTACATCCAGAAACAAATACAGGCTACAAGTTTCAAAATTTTAAAACAAATGTATCTTTCCCCCTCAGAAATGTCCACACAGCACAGTTAGTTGTTCCAGGAAAGGAACAACGTTGGGTTCCAGGAGCAAACAAGTCTTTACTCGATAGCAGGGCATGAGGAGGGCCGCCAAAGGCAACAGGTCCAGTGCACATCCCGCAGAAAACACCCCACTGATGTAAATATCTAGGAGTCTGTGCAAAGCGTTTGGCACTTGGGGCAGAAATGCAATCATTTAAGACATCAGACTAAAGTCTGTGAGAATCTTTTAGATGGTCTACATACCTGTCTTGTCTAACAGCATTTACAAAGGATGCACTTTTCGGCCTAATAGCAACAATACCATATTTTTAAATCATTTTATTGCTGTTGCATTATAAGCATCCTCCATTAACGTAAGAGAAGTTCTAGGGTGGTGTTTGTGTGAGAGATGAGAAGCATTATATTGGGCAATCCAGGCATCTTTTACTCGTCAGAGCGTCCCCCACGGACGGGGAATGTTATAACCAGACAGGAAAGTGCAGACCCTTCAAAGTTACCGCAGGGGTGCAGGGGTATGAGAATCTAGGTTACACTAGCATGAAAATGAACTGAAAATGGTAGTCCGAGTAAGGGAACCGGGACAGATGACTTTCTTAGATCAGATCTCAGGGGGAAGGGGGAGCGGGAAGCGACAACCAAAGAATTTAGCTGCATATAAGCATTGCCCAGGGACACAGACAATAGTGCGAGGAAGGCCTGGGATGGGGTGGGAGCCAGGTGGAGTGGGGCAAAAAGGGAAAAAAAGGGAGGAACATCTGGGAGACTGAATAATAATGATAATTTTTTTTAAAGCATCTTGCCCTGGCCGTTTTTTCAGTGGTTAGAGCATCCGCCTGGAGTTCAATTTCTGGTCAAAGGCATGTACCTGGGTTGCAAGTTTGATCCCTGACCTCCCACCAGGTCATGCAGGAGGCAACGATCTGTGTGTCCTTGACACACGTCTGTCTGTCTACCTCCCTCCCTTCCGCCCAGTCTAAATAAATAAGTAAATGGAAAAATACCCTGGGTGAGGATTAACAAACAAAAAAGGGTCATCTTTTATTTTGCAGGACAAAGTCGCGGCCCTCTGTGAGAAGTTACACATATGCGGGGGGCGGGGGGTGTGTAACACACGGTTAGTTTAACCCTTTATTCTACTTGTATCCCAAGTACACCCCTGAACCCTCAGAGCCCATAGGGCAAGGATGGAGGCTGCTGTGTCAACACATCCGTCCTAAGCCAGAGCCCGTGCCTCAGTTTCCCCCACCATACAAAGCTCCTAGGCGGAAATGGACCCCCAATCGCCATGACTGCTCCCTCAGAGGCAAGCACCCAGCCCCAACACCGCCGGGAGGGGTCCTCGGTGCACGGGGCAGACGTGCGAGTCGGTGCCAGCCCGGAGCGGGGCAAGCGCGGGGGGCAGCGCGGGAGGAGTCGAGGGTGCGCGGGGCCCTCGTCCGCACCGCACCCGGCGGCGACCACCGGGGGGCGGCGACGGCGGGAGCCCGGGGGGCGGCCGCGAAGGGACAATGGGTGGGCGCAGCGCCGGGGGGCCGCCGCCCTGCCGCGGGCTGAGCGGGCGCTGCTCCGGCCGACCCTCCGCGCCTCGCGCCGGGCGCGCAGCCGGGGCCAGCGCGTCCCCTCCAGGCCGGGACCCCCGCCCTCCCCCGCTCGGCCCCTCCACGCCTCCCGCGGCCCCCCGCCCCGTCGCGGCCCCCGCCCGCGCGCCCCGGGAGGGAAGGGGGGAGGGACGGGACGCACCTGAGCGGGCGGAGCGGGGGGAGGGGGCGCCGGGCCTCGGGGGAGGGGGCGAGCGCTGGCCCGCGCTACGCCTCCCACTTCCGGCGGCGCGAGCGGAGGGGGCGAGGCTCGGCCGGGAGAGGAGCGGCCGCGCTGGCCCCGGCCGCCCCCGACGGCGCCCCCTGGCGGCCGGAGCTGGCGCCGCCGAGGGGCCGCGGCCGCGGGCAGCCCCTAGGCGACAAGGGGGCGCCCCCGGGACGCGGGAGGACGGGAGACGCCGTCGCGAGAAGCGAGGGGACCCGGCGGGGGGACGGGCGCCCCTGGGCGGGCCGCCGGGCGCGTCGGGACCATGGCAGCCGGGGAGGCGGGGAGCGAGGGGATTTTAAAGTGGCAACCGCGGCGCCCTTGCCGGACACCGGGGGAGGGCGGTGCTTCCGGGAGGGCCCCTCTCGAGGACGCGGGGCGCTCGAGGCGGCGGCCCCCAGGAAGCCCCGCAGCGCACCCCGCGGCGGCGGGGCGGGGAGCAGCCCGGGGCTCGGCCGCGCCGGCCCGGGACCCGCCGCTGATTGGCCGCGCGGCCGGGCGGAAGTGATGCCGCTGTCACCCGCCGCCGCCCCGGGAGCCGCGAGTTTCCGCGGGGGGCGGAGCTGCGCCGCGCCGGTGAGCGGGGCGCTGGCGGGGCGGGGCCTCGGGAGCCCGCGGGGGGCTGCGCGGAGCGCGCCTGCCGGAGGCGGGGGGCCGGGGCCGCGGGGGAGGCCGGGGCACAGCCTGCGCGCAGCCCGGGTCTGGGGTAAGCGCGGACCGTCCCGGGCAGCACCTCTTCTCCCTGGCACCAGGGAGCGCGAAGGGGTGCCCAGCAGTGGGGTGCGGCCAGAGCTGCGTCCTCAGGGTATTTGAGGTTCTTCCCCGGGAAGCCTGGGGGCAGGGTGAAGGCGGGTAGTGGGCGCCGAGCACGTGCCGGTCAGGCTGCTCGTCTCCTGGGACCCTCCGAGTGGGTCACCGTCCGGCTAACTGGCCGGGTGTGTTTCACTGATAAGGCTGCACACGGCAGAGGCACCTGGCAGAGGGCGACGGCCGCCGGAGGGCAGGAGGGGCGAGGAGAGGGGATATGCCTGGGGACCTAAAGGAAAGGAAGGAGCTGTGGGGTGCAGAGCTTTGGAGGGAAGGGTTAGATAGCCTACGTCCCGTCTCCTTTGCCAAAGAGACTTTGGTAAAACACCCTCTGTTCTGTAATGTTTGGAGTCAGATCCTCAGAACAGCACCGGTGGAGAGCAGAGGCTGCAGAAGGAGCCCAGACCCCGGTCGGTGCACACCTGCTCTGCCACCGTCCACTTGTTCCTGCCCCCCGGCTGGCCCACCAGTTAGTTCTAACGTGGCCCTTCCTTCGGGCAGTGGAGGGCATTCCCGGGTTTGGAGCCTGATCCCTCACTTCCAAACCGAGCTGCTGAGGTCGCGATTCAGGATAGAAAGCCCTGTGGTCCTTCTGTTTCTTCTCTCCCGGGGCCCACTTTCCCTTCATGCCTCTTCAGTTTTGTTTGCGGCCTCAGGTTTTCCCCTTTCCCCCCCCCACCCGCTTCCGGCCTACTCTGAACTTCCCCTGGCCTGCAGACACAGAAATCAGGAAGTCAGCTGTCACCTGAACTTCTAGGGAACGTCTCTACTTACTTTTTCTGTAAACATTTTTAAATATTTGTATTGATTTTTTTTTTTTTTAATCCTCACCCGAGGACATTTTTCTATATTTTGTTCAGATAGAGTGGGGGAGGGGAGAGAAACATCAACGTGAAAAGGACACATTGAGTGGCTGCCACCCACACGCCCCAACCAGGGCTGGGGACAAACTGCAACCGAGGTACGTGCCCTTAGCAGGAACCGAACCTGGGTCTCTCCGGACCGCAGGCTGACGCTCTAACCACTGAGCCAAACCGGCCAGGGCTACATTGATTTTTTGAGAGAGAAAGGAAGGGAGGGAGAGAGAGAGAGAGAGGGAGAGAGAGAAACATCAACGTGAAAGGGACACATTGAGTGGCTGCCACCCACACGCCCCAACCAGGGCCGGGGACAAACTACAACCGAGGTACGTGCCCTTAGCAGGAACCGAACCCAGGTCTCTCCGGACTGCAGGCCGATGCACTAACCACTGAGCCAATCCGGCCAGGGCTGTATTGATTTTTTGAGAGAGAAAGGAAGGGAGGGAGGGAGAGAGAGAGAGACACGCATCAATGTGAGAGAAGCATTGATAGGCTGCCTCCTGCACATCCCCTACTGGGGATCCAGCGGGCCACCAGAGCGTGTCCCTGACCCAGAATTGAACCTGTGACCTCTTGGTTCATGGGTGGAGGCTCAACCACGGAGCTACACCGGCTGGGCATCTACCTGCTTTCTCAAGAGTTTTTGGTAACAGTTGAAGCCCTCTTCTAGGCCTCTGGGGAAAAAAAGAGAAGAGGGTGGTATGATGGTTAGAACAAGAAGCCGAGTTTCTGGATTTTGTACTGATTTGGCCTTCCTGCCCCCGTTCTATTCCAATCTATGGCTTATTTGAGGTGCCTGGAAATGGTGCTTAGTGATTGGGCAGTTTCTCTGGTTATAGGTCTTGGAGGCGTGGCAGGCGTCTGTTCGCTGCCCTGGGTTTGGGAGGAAACCATTTCTTCTCTTCTTGGGGTCCACAGGTCTGCAGTCTGTGCTGAGTCAGCAGAATTCACAGTGAAAGTGATGCCTTTTCTCCACTGGCACAACATGAGTATGAGGTGGTTAGCCAGACCAGGAGCTCAGCCTCACCTCGAGTCCAGGTGGGCATGGGGCCCCACTGCGGGGAGTTAGCCCTGAGGACAGCTGGACAGAGAAGTCAGCTGGGGAAAGATTTTTATCCCCTCTAAATACGGGAGGAGGGTCTCTTCTAAAAATCAGTCATGATTCTGCCATGAAAAGGACGTGTAAGCCCTTTTCCTGGCACCGGTGGGAAGGGCAGCATGGTTATCTGGTGACTGTGCTGCTTGGTTATCTGGTGAGGTGGGGATGGGTGCTTAGTGCCACGGAGCTTAGTACTGGGGCTAGTGCTGGCCCACACCCCACCTGGGGGCTTATCCCTGTCACTCAGAGATAAATTTGAATGAAGAGGAGATCACATGTTTCCTAAGTTAAAAGGAGCGGATTGGGGGTTTCCAGTTGTGCATTGATGGCTCAGTCCCCCTCTCAGACTACTGCAGTGGACAGCCCTTTGATCTCTCGTGTCCTCCTCTGTCTGCAGCCTACTGCTCTGATGCAGAAGAGGAGGCAGAAAGTGCCACGTTTGGATGCCCCCCTGGGCCTGCCCACCTGCCTCTGGCTGGAATTAGCTGGGCTCTTCCTACTGGCTCCCTGGGCCATGGGCCTGGCAGGGACAGGCGGGCCCGAGGCCCAGAGCCCTGAGGGGCTAAGCTGGGCCGTGCATCTGGACAGCCTGGAATGCAAGGGAGAGGAAGAGACTCTGGAACGAAGGGCAGATGCCTTGGCCCAGGCAGCAGGACTGGTGAATGCTGGACGCATCGGGGAGCTCCAGGGACACTACCTCTTTGTCCCGCCAGCTGGGCACCGGCTGGACCAGCAGGTAGAAGCCATCCGGCAGCTGGCAGAGGCTGTGTTAGCGAGGCATGACGCTGTGCGCTGGCACTCGGAACAGAAGCTGCTGAAGCGAGCCAAGCGCAGCGTCCACTTCAATGACCCCAAGTACCCACAGCAGTGGCACCTGGTGAGTGTGGCCGCAGCTCTCAGCTGCAGGTGGGCGGGCTCTGGGTATCCAGTTCCTTTTTTAATATTAGTTAAATAATTGTATTTATTGACTTGAGGGAGAGAAACATCAATTTGTTGCTTCACTTATTTACGCATCCATTGGTTGATTCTTGTATGTGCCCTGACTGGGGATCTAACCCACAACTTGAGCATATTGAGATGACACTCTAACCAACTGATCCACCTGGCCAGGGTTATCCAGTTCTTTTTTTAAGTATGTTTTCATTGATTTTTGTAAGAGAGAGAGGAAGAGGGAGAGAGAGAGAAACATCGATCTGCTGCCTCCTATAGGCGTCCCAACTGGGGATCAAGCCCGCAACCCGGGCATGTGCCCTGTCCGGGAATCGAACTAGGACCTCTCAGTCCGCGGGACAACACTCAATTCAGTGAGCCACGCCGGCTGGCTACCCAATTCTTCAGTGGACTCTTGATGGTATTACGTTCCAGTTTGCCTGCAGAGACGTTTCCATGGGCTTCAGTGGCCTGCTCCTTCCTCGGGCCCTGCCCTGTGCTCACTTCTAGAGAGCCAGTGGGCTGTAGCGGTTTGGGTGTGGGTGCTGGGGCTCAGTTCCAGCTCTGCCACTTGCTGCCGTGTGACCTCTCTGCCTCAGTTTCCTTCTCTTTAAGTGGGAGATTCTTTTTTTTTTTTTAAATCCTCACCCGAGGATATTTTTCCATTTTTTGTACAGATAGAGTGGGAGGGAGAGAGAGGAAGGGAGAGAGAGAGAGAGAAACATCGACGTGAAGGGACACATCGAGTGGCTGCCACCCACACGACCAACCAGGGCTGGGGACAAACTGCAACCGAAGTACGTGCCCTTAGCGGGAACCGAACCCGGGTCTCTCCGGACCGCAGGCCGACGCTCTAGCCGCTGAGCCAAACCGGCCAGGGCAAGTGGGAGATTCTAATAGTGCCTCTTGTAGAGGTAGTAAGGATAAATCAGTTAACATGTGTGTGCCTGACACACGATAAACACTTCACAGTACTAACTAGTGACGTCATATAATATCATATCAACATCCCATACGTCACGTGCATAGTAATTGTGTTATCCAACCGTGCGCCTAGCCACCAGTTCATCGCGGTTGCCTGTGAATGCTGTCACGCTTTCCTGGAGGCCTAGGTTGGGCACAGCTCTCACTTGTCCCTCCTTGGCTCCGTGTCCACCTAGACCGTTATAGAAATGTGCCCAGAAAACTATTCCAGGACTTGGGAAACCTGTTGGTCCACAACCTCTGTCTGGCTCTTTTTTCCCAATGTTTTTATTGATTTCTTAGAGAAGAAGAGAAAGCAACGTCGATGTGAGAGAGAGACATCGATCGACTGCCTCCTGCACGCCCCCTACTGGGGATCGAGCCGGCGGCCCGGGCATGTGCCCTGACTGGGAATCAAACCAGGACCTCTCAGTCCATGGGACGACGCTCAGTCCACTGAGCCACTCCGGCTGGGCTGAAATGCTTTTAAAAAAAATGTTATGTGCCTCAGGCATGAAACAGCTCTGGCCCCAATAGAGGCATCAAGCTAGGATGAGCTGAGGACTGTACGTCTGCTTGGCCCCTAGATGATACAAGAGCAACACCGCCCATCAGGTGTCTCCTTGCCCAATGCCAGGGGGTCCTTTTTTTTTAATCCTCACCCAAGGATATTTTTCCATTTATCTTCAGATAGAGTGGGAGGGGGAAAGAAAAAGAAACACCGATTGGTTGCCGCCTGCACGACCCCGACCAGGGCCAGGGCAAACCGCGACCGAGGTATGTGCCCTTGACCGGAATCTAACCCGCGACTCTGGGTTCGCTGGCTGGCGCTCTAACCGCTGAGCCAAACCGGCCAAGAGTGGAAAGAGGCTGCCAGCTGTACCTTGTGTCTCTGGTCTGTGCTGTGTGTCCCTGACCCTGTCTCTCCTGCAGAACAACCGGCGGAGCCCCGGCAGGGACATCAACGTGACAGGTGTGTGGGAGCGCAACGTGACGGGGCGAGGGGTGACCGTGGTGGTGGTGGATGATGGAGTGGAGCACACCATCCAGGACATTGCGCCCAACTATGTGAGTGGCCCTGGGATGACCCCTCCCACCCTTCTGTGTGTTGCCTCAGGCTCGTCCCCTTTCTTGGAGGCCTTTGAGCAAAGCAAATGGGCCTGGGCTGGGACGTTGTTCTCCGTTCTCCTTCCCCAGCCAGCATTGCAGCCGGGCAGTTAGACAGGGAGGGCTCCACCGTCAGCAACAGGCTCCCAGTGACACTAAGTGGTCCCTGGGGCAGCCCCGCGCCTGCGCAAGGAGTGGGCCCGTGGGCAGCTTCCCTCCCACGCAGCTTCTGAGCCCCCTCCCTCCTCTACGCGGGCTGAGCCCTAACCTCTTCATCCCAGCTTCCCAAGTCCTGGGGCAGTTTTCTGGACACATTCCCAACACGGACAGGAAGAGGTTTCTGAGATTGTGCCTCTTCTCAGTTTTGCCCAGTGCCCTGCCTCATAGCTTACTGACCACGTGGTTGAGTCTCAGGGAGGATGGGCTGCTGCCCTGGCCCGGTTCCCCTCTCCCCCTGAGCTCCAAGACCTGGCCTCTTATAGCCAGTGAATGACCACATGTCACACCCCGATGTTTCAGAGCCCTGAGGGCAGCTACGACCTCAACTCCAATGATGCTGACCCCATGCCCCACCCGGATGAGGAGAACGGCAACCACCACGGCACCCGGTGCGCCGGCGAGATCGCGGCCGTGCCCAACAACAGCTTCTGCGCGGTGGGTGTGGCCTATGGGAGCCGCATAGCAGGTATCCAGCCAGCCTCAGCAGGTCTCCTGTGAGGGCTGCTCCTCCCGCCAGCCTCCCAGCCTGTGGTCTTTACCCTGCCCCCAGCGCACCCAGGAGAAAGGGTGAGCCTAGAGTAGGAAAGGGTGAGCTCAGAGTAGATGCGCGCAGGACGAACCACAGTGCAGCGCAGCTTAGCAGCGGCCCTGCCGTGCAAAACAAAAGTGGGGTGCTCTTGCTGTGGGACAGAGGCCTCGGGTCCCGCCCGCTCAGCCTCCTTCCCTTTTCTGATCTTGGTTGTGCCTGTCAGTGATGAGCTCATTGCAGTGGTGTCTCCTCTCCTCGTCTGCACTGTGCTTGTACTTTCCGTCTACCAAGCACCTCTGCCCCTCCTCCATCCCACGTGTTCAGGGAGGCCCCTCTGCAGCTGCCTCCCAGTTCTGCAGCGCCGCCCCTCTGACGGTCACTGCTCTCCATCCTTTGAAGAGGTCTGAGAAGCCCTGGCCGCCACTGGGGGTTGGTCCGTGGCTCCTTCACCTCTCAGTCTTTGTCCATCAAGGCAGAAGGTGGAAAGAATGAAGGGGGAAGCTCTCCCCATAATTCCTCCTAGTTGCTTGGAACCCACAGACTGAATAAATTGGCTGTACTCCTCTTACCCTCCAGCAGAGGGCAGCAGCCCTCTCTGTAAATGAGGTGACGAGGGAGCCAGAGCCCTCAGGGCCCAAATCCCTTCTGAAAGCTCCCTTTGTCTCCATGTTGTCACCAGGATGTGACCCCCCCACTTTAGAGGGTGAACTTAGGCACCCGCGGGAGTAGTCGACAGTGATGAGTGCCATTTGTTGAGCGCCCTCTGTGTGTCCAGCACCACCCCGTGTTTACGTGATCAAGGATGCAAATAAGAAGGGCAACTTGGCTGCCTACCCTCCAGCCTGTGCCTCTCCCCCCCAGACCCCATGATCCTTGAAGTCTGAGGTCTAGCATTATAGTAAAACATATTTCTGGACAGGTACACTTGGTATGAAACACACAAGAGCACTTCCTTAGAGGGAGAAGTAAATCTTCACATGTAGCCCCAGCGCCCAGTCTGCACCTGGGGGTGAGCGTTACTGAGCAGCCGATGTGGTCTTTGCTGCCAGGCATCCGGTTGCTAGATGGACCCCTCACGGACAGCATGGAGGCCGTGGCGTTCAACAAGCACTATCAGGTCAACGACATCTACAGCTGCAGGTGAGACAGAGCCGGGGACAGGTGAGAGGGCGAGAGGCTCGGACACCTGGACTAATTCTCCAGCAAGATGAGCTGACCAGGGCAGGTTTCAGCAGTGGGTTCAGCCTGGGAGCCCCTTGGCCTCAGTTCTCCAGGTCCCCAGACACTGGGTCCTTAGTCTTCAGCCTCACGTCACCCCAGTAATCAGGTCGCCCCGTGAAGAGTGTGCGAGCTGTTTAACAAACTCAGAAGGCCTCTGGGAGAGAGTGGGCATTCCTCTCTGCCCACGCCAAGCTGAGTGCCCAGCACCAGTGCCCTCTGCCCTGCACACACAAATGCACCTGCAGCCCGGTTGTGGTTATACAGGGGGCCGGAGTGGGATTAAAGAGCAACGGGGCCGCCCTCATGGCCCTGATGACACCTCTTCCCCCTGGTCAGTAACCCCCTGAGCCCATGACCTCCACAGTGTGCCTTTCCTCTTAGAGGAGGAATGAGAACCCCTCAGACCCCAAAGTGCACAGAAGGAACACTTCCTGCCTGGGAGCTGCTCCGTCAGGCCTAGCAGTGGGTCAGGAGAGGGTAACCCCTGTCCCTGTCCGCACCCGGTCCTGTGTGCTGCTGCCCGGGACCTCAGGAAGGGTTTTCAGGAGCAGGTTAAAGTAGTCCTACGTTGGGAAACCTTCCACTTCCAAGTGGGGGGGCTGGACCTTTGACCCTTCCGCCCTTTAATCACGGGTCCCGGCTGGAACGTGGGAGGAGAGTGAGACCCCAGGCAGCGGGTGGCCAGCTGAGAGCCGGGGCGGGTGCCACCGCCTGGCTGGGCTCTTCCTCGGGGTGTCTCTCAGCAGCTGGGGCCCGGACGACGATGGCAAGACCGTGGATGGCCCTCACCAGCTGGGAAAGGTAACTGCACGGGGCTCGGGAGACGCGGAGCAGCTCTTCGCCACCCACTGGAGCCGGCCCATGCCCGCTAGCCTGCCGCCTGCTGTCCGGAAGCACTCCTCACGGGAGGCGGGGCGGCAGGGCCACAGGCCTGCGAGAGACGGGCACTGCTTCGGGGTGGCCTCCCTTGCTCCCTGGCGGCTGGCTCCCTGGGCCTCGCCTCTGACGAGCAGAGCCCGCCTGTGCGCAGTGCTTCCCCCCTGCCCGCGCCCCCTCGAATCTCTTCCCCCCCTGCCCGCGCCCCCTCGACTCTCTTCCCCCCCTGCCCGCGCCCCCTCGAATCTCTTCCTCCCCTGCCCGCGCCCCTCGAATCTCTTCCCCCCCTGCCCGTGCGCAGTGCTTCCCCCCCTGCCTGTGCCCCCTCGAATCTCTTCCCCCCCTGCCCGTGCCCCCTCCAATCTCTTCCCCCCCCGCCTGTGCCCCCTCGAATCTCTTCCCCCCCTGCCCGTGTCCCCTCGAATCTCTTCCCCCCCTGCCCGTGCCCCCTCGAATCTCTTCCTCCCCTGCCCGTGCCCCCTCGAATCTCTTCCTCCCCTGCCTGTGCCCCCTCGAATCTCTTCCCCCCCTGCCCGTGCGCAGTGCTTCCCCCCCTGCCTGTGCCCCCTCGAATCTCTTCCCCCCCTGCCCGTGCCCCCTCCAATCTCTTCCCCCCCCCCGCCTGTGCCCCCTCGAATCTCTTCCTCCCCTGCCCGTGCCCCCTCGAATCTCTTCCTCCCCTGCCCGTGCCCCCTCGAATCTCTTCCTCCCCTGCCCGTGCCCCCTCGAATCTCTTCCTCCCCTGCCCGTGCCCCCTCGAATCTCTTCCCCCGCTGCCCGTGCCCCCTCGAATCTCTTCCTCCCCTGCCTGTGCCCCCTCGAATCTCTTCCCCCGCTGCCCGTGCCCCCTCGAATCTCTTCCCCCCCTGCCCGCGCCCCCTCGAATCTCTTCCTCCCCTGCCTGTGCCCCCTCGAATCTCTTCCCCCCCTGCCCGCGCCCCCTCGAATCTCTTCCTCCCCTGCCTGTGCCCCCTCGAATCTCTTCCCCCGCTGCCCGTGCCCCCTCGAATCTCTTCCTCCCCTGCCCGTGCCCCCTCGAATCTCTTCCCCCCCCTGCCCGTGCCCCCTCGAATCTCTTCCTCCCCTGCCCGTGCCCCCTCAAATCTCTTCCCCCGCTGCCCGTGCCCCTCGAATCTCTTCCTCCCCCTGCCTGTGCCCCCTCGAATCTCTTCCCCCGCTGCCCGTGCCCCTCGAATCTCTTCCCCCCCTGCCCGCGCCCCTCGAATCTCTTCCTCCCCTGCCTGTGCCCCCTCGAATCTCTTCCCCCCCTGCCCGCGCCCCCTCGAATCTCTTCCTCCCCTGCCTGTGCCCCCTCGAATCTCTTCCCCCGCTGCCCGTGCCCCCTCGAATCTCTTCCTCCCTTGCCTGTGCCCCCTCGAATCTCTTCCTCCCCTGCCTGTGCCCCCTCGAATCTCTTCCTCCCCTGCCCGTGCCCCCTCGAATCTCTTCCTCCCCTGCCTGTGCCCCCTCGAATCTCTTCCTCCCCTGCCTGTGCCCCCTCGAATCTCTTCCCCGTGCCAGGCCGTGGGGGCGGTTGTATGGAAGGGAGAGGTCTTTCTCCGAGCTTCCCACGACTCCCGGGCATCTTTGCTCCTCAGGCCGCCTTGCAACACGGGGTGATCGCCGGCCGCCAGGGCTTCGGGAGCATCTTTGTGGTGGCCAGTGGCAACGGGGGCCAGCACGGCGACAACTGCAACTACGACGGCTACGCCAACTCCATCTACACCGTCACCATCGGTAGTGACCTCGAGCCTGCGCGGCTCAGTGCGAGGGGCCTGTATCTGTGTGTGTGTGTGTGTGTGTGTGTGTGTGTGTGTGTGTGTGCAACTCAGTGTGAGGGGCCTGTGTGTGTGTGTGTGTGTGTGTGCAACTCAGTGTGAGGGGCCTGTGTGTGTGTGTGTGTGTGTGCAACTCAGTGTGAGGGGACTGTGTGTGTGTGTGTGTGTGTGTGTGCAACTCAGTGTGAGGGGCCTGTGTGTGTGTGTGTGTGTGCAACTCAGTGTGAGGGGCCTGTGTGTGTGTGTGTGTGTGTGCAACTCAGTGTGAGGGGCCTGTGTGTGTGTGTGTGTGTGTGTGTGCAACTCAGTGTGAGGGGCCTGTATCTGTGTGTGTGTGTGTGCAACTCAGTGTGAGGGGCCTGTGTGTGTGTGTGTGTGTGTGTGCAACTCAGTGTGAGGGGCCTGTATCTGTGTGTGTGTGTGTGTGTGCAACTCAGTGTGAGGGGCCTGTGTGTGTGTGTGTGTGTGTGCAACTCAGTGTGGGGCATGTGTGTGTGTAACTCAGGTGAGGGGACTGTTGTGTGTGTGTGTGGTGTGACCTGAGTGCTGCTGGGCCTGTATCTCAGGGTCGGCTGCTGATCAGTGCTGGTGTGGCCTTTGTATTCTTTGGTGTGTGTGAGTGTGTGTGGCTCAGTGCTTGAGGAGGACTGTATCTCGGTCTGTTGTGTGCCAACTCAGTTGTGAGGGGACTGTGGTGTGTGTGTTGCAACTCAGTTGAGAGGGGCCTGTTATCGTGGTTGTGGTGTGGACTCCGTGTGTTAGGGGACTGTGTGTTGTGTGTGTGCAACCTCAGTGTGAGGGCTGTATCTGTGTTGTGTGTCGTGTGCAAGTCCAGTGTGACGGGACCTGTGTGTGTGTGTGTGTGTGTGTGTGTGCAACTCAGTGTGAGGGGCCTGTGTGTGTGTGTGTGTGTGCAACTCAGTGTGAGGGGCCTGTGTGTGTGTGTGTGTGTGCAACTCAGTGTGAGGGGACTGTGTGTGTGTGTGTGCAACTCAGTGTGAGGGGCCTGTATCTGTGTGTGTGTGTGTGCAACTCAGTGTGAGGGGCCTGTGTGTGTGTGTGTGTGTGTGCAACTCAGTGTGAGGGGCCTGTATCTGTGTGTGTGTGTGTGTGCAACTCAGTGTGAGGGGCCTGTGTGTGTGTGTGTGTGTGCAACTCAGTGTGAGGGGCCTGTGTGTGTGTACAACTCAGTGTGAGGGGACTGTGTGTGTGTGTGTGTGTGTGTGACTGAGTGCTGCGGGGCCTGTATCTCGGGGCGGGGTGTCAGTGCTGAGGGGCCTGTATCTTGGTGTGTGTGAGTGTGTGTGGCTCAGTGCTGAGGGGACTGTATCTCGGTGTGTGTGTGCAACTCAGTGTGAGGGGACTGTGTGTGTGTGTGTGCAACTCAGTGTGAGGGGCCTGTATCTGTGTGTGTGCGACTCAGTGTTAGGGGACTGTGTGTGTGTGTGTGCAACTCAGTGTGAGGGGCCTGTATCTGTATGTGTACAACTCAGTGTGAGGGGACTGTGTGTGTGTGCAACTCAGTGTGAGGGGCCTGTGTGTGTGTGTGTGCAACTCAGAGTGAGGGGACTGTGTGTGTGTGTGCAACTCAGTGTGAGGGGACTGTGTGTGTGTGTGTGTGTGTATGCAACTCAGTGTGAGGGGACTGTGTGTGTGTACAACTCAGTGTGAGGGGACTGTGTGTGTGTGTGTGTGACTGAGTGCTGCAGGGCCTGTATCTCGGGGGGTATGTGTCTCAGTACTGAGGGGCCTGTATCTTGGTGTGTGTGAGTGTGTGTGGCTCAGTGCTGAGGGGACTGTATCTTGGTGTGTGTGTGCAACTCAGTGTGAGGGGAGTGTATCTCTGTGTGTGTGTTTGTGTGCAACTCAGTGTGAGGGGACTGTATCTGTGTGTGTGTGTGTGTGTGTGTGTGTGACTGAGTGCTGAGGGGACTGTATCTTGGTGTGTGTGAGTGTGTGTGGCTCAGTGCTGAGGGGACTGTATCTCGGTGTGTGTGTGCAACTCAGTGTGAGGGGCCTGTATCTGTGTGTGTGTGTGTGTGTGCGCGCGCGTGTGTGTGACTGAGTGCTGAGGGGCCTGTATCTTGGTGTGTGTGAGTGTGTGTGGCTCAGTGCTGAGGGGCCTGTATCTCTGTGTGTGTGTAACTGAGTGTGAGGGTATGTGCCTTGGGGTGTGTGAAATCCTTTCTTAAACTCAGCACACGTCCAGCTGGTAGCTCAAAGGTAACTGTACTGTCAGGCTTCTGTGTCAGCTCCCGCGTCCTGCCCTGTCCCAGGTGCCGTGGATGAGGAGGGACGGATGCCTTTCTACGCAGAGGAGTGTGCCTCCATGCTGGCGGTCACCTTCAGTGGGGGGGACAAGATGCTCCGGAGCATTGTAAGTGCCTCGGCCCTCCCCTGCCTGCCCTGCCTCTCGGGCTCCTGTTGCCCAGCCCTGGTGTCTCTGAGCTGCCACCTGCGGGGGGGGGCGGTGGGGGGCTCTGCATCGCTAGATGGCTTCACCTCCACACTGTCACCTTAGACGTTCACGCAGTTAGAGGAGCTACCGGGCATCACGCCGACTCGAGAATTTCTCTGAAATGTCTTTCTTTGGCAGGATTTGGGCTTTGGCTGGTTTTTACGGGCTTAAAAAAGTCATTGCGTTGCTCTTCAGCCCTATGTAAGGACCGTGAGGTCTGCGCGCTCGCTGCCGGGGCAAAGCCAGTGGCTGTGCTCAGGGAGAGCAGAGTCAGGAGGCAGGGACGTGTCGGTCAGTCCCCAGCTCTCTTTCCTTGGAGCCAGAATCGGGCCGTAGCAAACGGGAGGCTGGGGAGGGCACGGAGAGCTGGGCTGTGGGAACTTTGCGAGCATTCAGGGTCTGGTGCCTGTGGCCGGCTGGCCCAGCTCCACCCCCGCGTCCTCAGGCGGGGTCCCTGGGCCCTCCTCCCAGAGCCCCTGGGCCCTGCGGCCCTGCGGCCCATGATGGGAGCAAGTGGGCCGGGCTCCAGGCAGGAGCTGGGCTGCAGCCAGGTGTATCGGATTCCCCCAGTGGCCCGGCTTGGGAGGGCACTCCGGGGCCGCTGGGAATTAGGTTGCCTTGTCTCCTGCTGGGCCAAATCCACTTTCCAAAACTGAAATTTTGTTTTGCCCGTAAATGACTTCTGGTTAACACAATGTTCCAAGGCTCTGGGCCAGTTGACCCCTGCCCCCCCATCCCGCCGAGCCCTGGGGAGAAGAGGGAGTGGACTAAAATAAAAGAGCGAGAGAGGCTTTGCTCAGCAGGCGGGGTCTGGGGTAGAGGGCCCCCCACTCCCACCCTCGCCAGGGCAGAGCGGCAAGGAGCAAGAGCAGGGCATCCCGTGTTCTTCGCGCCCTGCACCCCCCTCGAACCGCTCATCCCAGCCCCACCCAGGAGTCGCAGGGCTCCCCAGACAACTGTCCGTCTGCTCTGAGGGGCGTGGCTTTGTCTTTCTAACTCAACTCCCTTCTTACCCCACCTCCACCTTCCACAGGGCTGTAACTTGTCCAGAAGCGAAAAGAGTTTGTTTCGCCAAGTTTCCATCTTTGGGATGTATTTGCCTTGGATGCTCCTGTGGCCAGTTTCTGGTCAGTGAGCAGCCTGGTGGAGCCGCCTTCCAGAGGGTGTGGAAGCACATGCCACCCACCACCCGCCACTGGCCGCCCGGGGCTCCTGCCCCCGCGGCCAGTTCCCGGACCTCACAGCTGAGCTCTAGACTGTGAGCTGTTTCCTTACAGGAAACAATCAGTCTGCCGCCTGGCACTGCGGGCCTCCGCCCGGTCGACGGCTGGCAGGGTCCTCTGGCAGTGCCCGCGTCAGTGCGGAGCCCGGCTCCTGGCAGCTGCCGACAGCTGGGGGGCAGCAGTGAGCACAGTGAGGAAGGGCCGCTGCGCGGGGTTAGGGCCCCGTGTCTGCCCGGGAAGACAGGCCGCAAGGGAACCGTGGGGCAGACCGTAGTGCCGCGCAGAGAAGTCGGCGGGGCTCAGCTAAGCCCTCCGGTCCCCGGGCCCACGACAGCATAAAGAACTGCAGCCGGCTCTGGCCTGTGTCACTCAGTGGTTAGAGCACCGGCCCAGGAACTGAAGCCTCTCGGGTGTGATTCCTGGTCAAGGGCATGTACCTGGGTTGCAGGGTTGATCCCCAACCCCAGGGTGCATGCCAGAGGCAACCAGTTGATGTGTTTCTCTCCCATCGATGTTTCTCTCTCTTTTTCCACCTCTCTCCCTCCCTTCCACTCTCTAAAAAATAAAAATCAATGGAGAAGCTACCCTCAAGTGAGGATTAACAAAGAAAGTGCCGGACAGATGTCATCTGTCCCCCAGGGGCAGCTGTGCCCTCCCCACGCCCTCCCTCATCCTGCCCGGGGCCACGGTAGAGAAGGGAAACCATGCTGAGGCCCCAGGCCCAGCGCAGCGAGGCAGCTCGTCCTGTCGGTGGCCACAGGCCAGGGCAGGCAGTGTTGACATGGCCCACAGGCTGGGCCAGGGGACAGTCCTGCCTAGGACATGCCCCGTTCACACTGATGTCCCTGCAGCTCCTACCACTGAGTGGCCTCGCTGGGTTTCCTGGGGTGGAGCCCGCGCCGTTGTCCCAGCTGTAGCTGGGCCCGGAGCTCCGGCCCACTTCCTCGGGGAAGGATTATTTGGGAATGGATGATTAGAGGAGCAGGAATTAGGGCGCTGTCCTCTGCAGGCTCTCGCAGGCCTCGGTCTCCCTTCCTCGGCGGACCCTCGTGGTCACTCCTGTAGTGCCCTCACCTCCCACAGCTCTCCAGAGATTCCTCGTGAGGCCCAGAGGTTCGGGGCTCCTTCGTCCTGCCCTGCCCTGGGCCTCCCTCTGGCCACAGACTCCGCTCAGAAGGAGGGTCCGCCCGCGAGGCATGTTCTCGGGACCAGCCTGTCCCTCACCCTCGCGCACCTGTGAACGCAGTCTCTAACCCGTGCCCTCCCGCTCCTTCCCACCCCAGGTGACCACTGACTGGGACCTGCAGAAGGGCACAGGCTGCACTGAGGGCCACACAGGGACCTCGGCCGCAGCCCCCCTGGCCGCCGGCATGATCGCCCTGATGCTGCAGGCGCGGCCCTGCCTCACGTGGCGCGACGTCCAGCATCTCATCGTCTTCACGGCCACCCAGGTGAGGCGCTGCCAGGGGACAAATGCCCTGGCCCAACCTGCCCCAGAGTTCTGGCTCCAAGGACTTGCAGGTGTCCAGGGCTTCAGATGCTAAACGTTCCCGTTGTCGGGACCAAGCCCCTCCGAGTTGCAGGCGTGTAGAACGGGTGGGGGCCCCTCGAGACCGGAGACCTCAGCTCTCCTGTACCTGTTGTGACGCTGCTCCTTCGCCTGCGAAGGGGAGCCCTGGCTGGGCTCCCCCTGAGCCTGTGGCTCCTGCTCCTCCCTGGAAGCAGGCCTCAGGCTGGCACATCGTGCGTCTTTGACCTTTCGTCCCAGCCTTCCTGGGGGACTCCGTGCCCGGTGGCCTTGGCGGGGAGTCTGGATTGGGTCAGCCGGCGGGGCAGCGGGGAAGCCTGAGTGGAGCTGTTGAGATGGCTCTGGAGTCATCTGTCCTCTGTCCTCTCAGTACGAGGATCGCCGTGCAGACTGGGCCACCAACGAGGCAGGCTTCAGCCACAGCCACCAGCACGGATTCGGCCTGCTCAACGCCTGGAGGCTCGTGAACGCGGCCAAGGTGAGCAGTGCTGGCAGGGCGGGTGCCTGCGTGCAGGGCCGAGGGCGGGCTCCGTGCCTGACCCTGCCTGGCACGCTGTGCCCAGTGAACGTGCGTTCATCGTCTGCCCTCCTCCCAGCTGAGACCCCCTTACAAATGAGGGAGCAGGCTCAGCACTTCAGCTGAAGTTTCAGACCATTTGTGGGCATAGATGGGGCCTGGACACACCTTGGGACTCAGGGCGCTCGGGCCCTCGGCTCCACCCCGGCACAGCGTTTCCTCTGGCTCCTGGACGGGGTGCCGTGGGGAGCCCTCCGTGGTGTCAGCAGGGGTCTCGGGAGTGAAAGAAGGTGATGAGGGGAGGGAGGGTGAAGAGAGCTGGGCCCCAAAGAGCAGGCCGATGAGAGCGAGAGTTCAGTGGTGTTCATGTGCCTGCACCCCCTTTCCTTCAACAGGTCTGGACTTCTGTCCCTTACTTAGCCTCCTACGTCAGCCCCATGTTAAAAGAGAACAGGGCGATCCCACTGTCCCCCCGCTCCCTGGAGGTGCTGTGGAATGGTAAGTAGTCCACAGAAAGGGGTTCATCATGGGCTTGAGATTTGGGGCGGGTGATGGGGACTCATCCTCCCTGGGTTCTACCTCCTTCCTTTCGGAGCTGAGCTTCAGCCAAACCTGTGGAGTTTTCTATGACCATTTTAGGACATGTTGCTGCTTCTGAGCTGGCTGGCCCCCGGCTGCTCAGACAAGACCTTTCTCCCGAGTTACTGCAGTGCAAGGGAGCCGCTGAGCAGTGATGGGGAGGCTGGTAGGGGTGGGCTCGGGCGTGGGGAGAGGAGGCACGAGCTGAAAGACGTTCCTTTGAACTCCATGCTGAGAACTTGCCGGACAGTCCTGTCCCTCCCGGTGGCCTTCGGACGAGCACAGGAGTCGGGATCCCTTCCTTGGTTCTCGACCTCGTCTGACGCAGCCCCAGGGCCCTGTCGGGGTGCACAGAGCAGAGCGTGGGTGTTGCCCACGCCGTGGTTGCCCGTCTGACCGCCTCCACCTCACCAGGGCCAGCAGTCCGTGGGTCGGAGGTGGTGCGCTGTTGAGCACAGGGGTCGGGCGCCTCCCGGAAAAGCGGGAAGCTGGACAGGGAAAGGAGATGACCAGACAATTCCGTTTTCCCCGAGTTCCCGCCCGAGGCTTCCCCACTCCAGCTCCTCGGGGGACCTTTTTTTCCCTTGAGAAATTTTGAGAGCTATTCTCTATTTTTGTGAAGATTGAAACATGTCATGTCCCGTCCTCGCTGGATAGGTTACAGCAGGGACAGCCCGGGAGGGAGCTCAGGACGGACGGTCAGAGGGCACAGGGAAGAGCCCATTGTCCCCTCCCTAAGCACGCCCAGGGCTTGCCCAGCGGCCCCGCAGGTGGGAGTAACCAGGGCTGTCCTGAAAGCAGTGCTGTCTGAGAAAGGTCGGCCAAGGCAGGGGAGCTCCGAGCATCCCAGGGACGCAGGTCAGCGGGAGCCCCCGGCTCAGTCCTGGGAGCCCTGGTGTCTTGGAGACAGTGTGCCTCTTAACTTCTGCCACCCAGCCCAGGACCGTCCTGCCATTTGGGTAACAGTTACCCACAGTCACATCTGTCTAATGAGGGGTTGACTTAGAAGAGGGCTGGGGTCCTTTCTAGCCATCATTCCCTGCCTCCCACTCACGGGCTGTTGCCCAGCGTGCCTGGCACACTTCCCCAGCGTGGAGTACCTGGCAGAGGCACAGAAGGAACAGACTGTCTTGGGCAGAGGAGGCTGGAGGAGGCTGGGAGAGAGGATGAAGTCAGGAATGGGAGACCCTGGACGTTTTGCTGATGGAGTCTGTCATCAGTCTGGAGGTCCTAAGCAGGACTCGGCTCATTTCTGAGCTCAGCGAAGGTGTCTTCCCCTCTGTTGGGACTCGCGTGACCTTGAGTAGACAGAACAGAAGGCACAAGCTTGTGTGTGTCCTTGCAGGTGAAGGAAGTACGTCCGGTGCGTAGAGCGTCGAGCAACCCAGACCTGAGATGGTCAGGAAACCTCTTCGCTCTAGCCAAGCTGTCGTTTCTCCTCCGGGACCTGGGTGGCCCAGTGCAAGGGGAGGGGACTCTGGAAGGTGGAGGGGTCCATGCATGGCTAAGGCGGAAGAGGGCGGAGCGCCACGGAGACTGGAGCACGGTGCCCCACAGAGCCTGTGCGGTGATGGCTGCTTCTGCTCAGTGCGGTGCCACTGGCCCCTGAGGCTGTTAAACACTCGAGGTGTGCCCAGACCTGCACCTTACTTCATTGCAGCTGGGCTGAAACACCAGTGTGGCTGGTGGGCAGTGCAGCTCCGGGCAAGACAGACTCTTATTTCTCTCCCTCGGCAGGAGGCTACGGGGACAGGGGTTGGGCCCCTGGGTTCCTGTGTCTGCCTCTGGGTCTGGACTCTCCACCAGGGAGTACGGGGCACTGTCTACAGCACAAGAGAGTCTGTGTGTCCCTACAGAAGACTCCCGAACACCGCTCGCTCTAACCTTTTATCCCCGTTGGCAGTCTGAGTGCAGGTGCCCCTCTGCCTGGCAGGGAACCCTCCCTTCACTTCCCACCTCCTCCCTCTCCAGCCCAGTCTGCCCTCTCTCCACTGACCCCTCCTGGGCCTTCACACACCCTCAGCTCACCTTGCAGGAAACACGTTCAGGTCCCTGCCACCCTTCCACCTGGGACCTTCTCGGTCCAGTCATCTAAAGCAGCCGCCGCGTTTACCACCCTCGGCCACGGTGCTCTGGTCAGATCCAGGGGCTGCTTCAGACCGCGTCCTCCCTGACCTTGTTGCCTGTGACAAGGCCTTTGTGCGCTCTCTGCTCTCAGCCTCCGTGGCCTCCTTGCTCCATAGCCTCTCCCAGCAGCTCGGCCCGAGGTCATCTGGTGTGCTCGTCCCATGGCTCCCAGCCGCCAGCACCTTCTGGGTTCTCCGTGGTCCTTGCCCTCCCTTGACGTCCTTCCTCCACATTGCTCCTGGTTGTAGGACTTTAGCCACCATCTCTCTCCAAATGATTCCTAGATCAAAACCTCTTGTTCTGAACCTTTCCAGGGAGGGTAGAGATGTTCATGGCTAACACAAACTTATGGGCAAATACAGCCCTGGGATCTTCTGATCAGAGGGTAAGAGTTGAAAAAGACCCTCCCTTACCAAAGGCCAAAGGCTAATAATAAGGTGATGATCAATGACTTAGACTTAAGTGCTTTCTATGGGTCAAGCACTGTTCTAACTATTAACTTATTTAGTGTATTAACTTGCTCAGTTTTAGTGCTTTCCTGTACATGGCCACCCAGTCCCAGTGTGGACCAGTAAGAACCGCCCAGTCCCTGTGTGGACCAATGAGAACCGCCGGTGCCCGTGTAGACCAATGAGAACCGCCGGTCCCCCTGTAGACCAATGAGAACTGCCGGTCCCCCTGTGGACGAATGGGAACCTCTGGTCCCCCTGTAGACCAATGAGAACCGCCGGTCCCCCTGTGGACGAATGGGAACCTCTGGTCTCCCTGTAGACCAATGAGAACTGCCGGTCCCCCTGTGGACGAATGGGAACCTCTGGTCCCCCTGTAGACCAATGAGAACCGCCGGTCCCCCTGTGGACGAATGGGAACCTCTGGTCCCCATGTAGACCAATGAGAACCTCTGGTCCCCCTGTAGACCAATGGGAACCGCCGGTCCCCCTGTGGACCAATGGGAACCGCCGGTCCCCCTGTAGACCAATGGGAACCGCTGCTGCGTGCACATGCTCACACAGACCCCCAGGCCGTCCCTTTCTGGGGGCCCGTCTGTCATGCTGATGTCCCCCAGCTGGGCCAGGAACCTTCCCTTCATCTTTCTGGACCTGGCTCGCTGTGCTGCTGGATCGTCCGCCGAACCTTACACTAACCTGGACAGGACTTTGGTCCCTTTGTCGCCTCGAAATCGGCTTGCTTGTCAAGTGTCTCCCATTTCTGTCCGTGCGGTCCTGTTCCTTGGGCTCCCAAGCGGAAACTCTGGGGTGTTCGGCCCTCTGTGTCCCTTGCCCCTCCCAGGTCTCCCCGTCCTTCCCTTGCGGTTCAGCCGTCCACTAATTTCCCTGACACCTAAGAGAAGTGAGAACACGCCGCCCGGGCTGCAGTCAGTGGTGGGAGCAGAGCTGAGCGGACCCCCGCCCCGAGAGCGCACAGCCGGGCAGGCCCTCGGCTCCCGGTGGGCGGTGTCGGCACCGCAGCAGAGGCGCGTCCGGAGCCGGCTCGGAGTGACGGGGGGGGGCTCGGAGCGACGGGGGGCTAGGAGCAATGGGGGGGGCTCGGAGTGACGGGGGGGGTTCGGAGCGACGGGGGGCTCGGAGTGACGGGGGGGGGGCTCGGAGTGACAGGGGGCTCAGAGTGACGGGGGGGGCTAGGAGCGACGGGGGGGGCTCGGAGCAACGGGGGGCTAGGAGCGATGGGGGGCTCGGAGTGAAGGGGGCTAGGAGCGATGGGGGGCTCGGAGTGAAGGGGGCTAGGAGCGATGGGGGGCTCGGAGTGAAGGGGGCTAGGAGCGATGGGGGGCTCGGAGTGAAGGGGGCTAGGAGCGATGGGGGGCTCGGAGCGACGGGGGCTAGGAGCGACGGGGGGCTAGGAGCGACGGGGGGGCTCGGAGTGAAGGGGGGGCTCGGAGCGACGGGGGGGGCTCGGAGCGACAGGGGGGCTCGGAGCGACGGGGGGGCTCGGAGCGACGGGGGGGCTCGGAGCGACGGGGGGCTCGGAGCGACGGGGGGGGCTCGGAGCGACGGGGGGGGCTCGGAGCGACGGGGGGGCTCGGAGCGACGGGGGGGCTCGGAGCGACGGGGGGCTCGGAGCGACGGGGGGGCTAGGAGCGACGGGGGGGGCTCGGAGCGACGGGGGGCTCGGAGCGACGGGGGGGCTCGGAGCGACGGGGGGGGCTCGGAGTGAAGGGGGCTAGGAGCGACGGGGGGCTCGGAGCGACGGGGGGGGCTCGGAGTGAAGGGGGCTAGGAGCGACGGGGGGCTCGGAGCGACGGGGGGGGCTCGGAGTGAAGGGGGCTCGGAGCGACGGGGGGGGCTAGGAGCGACGGGGGGGCTCGGAGCGACGGGGGGCTAGGAGCGACGGGGGGGCTCGGAGCGACGGGGGGGGCTCGGAGTGAAGGGGGCTAGGAGCGACGGGGGGCTCGGAGTGAAGGGGGCTCGGAGTGAAGGGGGCTAGGAGCGATGGGGGGCTCGGAGCGACGGGGGGCTCGGAGTGACGGGGGGCTCGGAGCGATGGGGGGCTCGGAGTGACGGGGGGGGCTCGGAGTGAAGGGGGCTCGGAGCGACGGGGGGGGCTCGGAGTGAAGGGGGCTAGGAGCGACGGGGGGGGGCTCGGAGAGACGGGGGGCTAGGAGCGACGGGGGGGCTCGGAGCGACGGGGGGGGCTCGGAGTGAAGGGGGCTAGGAGCGACGGGGGGGCTCGGAGCGACGGGGGGGGCTCGGAGTGAAGGGGGCTAGGAGCGACGGGGGGGGGCTCGGAGCGACGGGGGGCTAGGAGCGACGGGGGGGCTCGGAGCGACGGGG